ACTATTCCACTGTTCCACTTTACTGGAGATAAAGCTACCACGCCCATCTGTCCAGTTGATATGCAGCCTAACCTGAACCCATCGAGTGGAGCTCAAAGCTACCAAAGTGCTGGCGCAGATTGCACACAAAGTGCAAAATACAACCTTCCATTTTTCCTTGAAAACTTAGGTCCCAGATTCTCTGAATGGAGCGTCAATGCTCATGAGGCGAGGCCTGGACATCATACTCAGGTTAATGTGTTACTATGCTTACATTCCTCGAGATCTAAAGATAAATGTACAGAAATCAACAAAATAGTTTCCTGTAATGCGGGCAGATTCACCAGCAATATACAAGTGGAATGTACTCTGTGTATCTGAAATTTCTTGCCACGTCCCTACATTTAGGAGGCACAATTTAATGTAACCCTGCGTTGGACTAGCATCCCATCCAGGGGGGAGTAGAAATACTCCTAGTCGCTTCAGGCTACCGAAACTGGAGGTAAACGCCGGCCTGATAGACAACTTGGCTCGTATGCAGACGTAACCTTTTTTTCATGAAAAGACCAAGAAAGTATTGCATGTGTAACTGTTCGCTGATTTGCATTAGTCCTCAACGAGTGAACGTGTTTACTAAAAGGACCCAGCAGTAGACACTTAGCGTATTCTACTAAAGAGGTGCAAATCTCATTTGGTTCTCACTAAGGTCCAGATGCTAAGAGACTACGATTGCGCGCACTCACTCTTAAAATGTGAGATTAGTCTAAACATTTTGGTTTAAAATTATATCTTGGGTTGAGTGAGGGTCAACCCAGCTTCCCCTCGTTGGCCACTCGCTCATTGACAACTAGTTGGTCATAATGTTCCTGTTCTCCTATATCAGCTTCAAGGTAACATAGAACATTTCCGTGATAGCTGCGGAGGTGTGATTGGTTGGCTTGATAGCGTCACCTATTATATGGCGTTTATAGAAGGTTGGGCTCTATACGCTGAAAATCCGCTCATAGCTGAAGATACTGACACTTACAAGTATGAACCCATGCAGAAGTTTGGCATGTTGAAGTGGCAGGTAATGATACAATTCACGATCTCAAGCTCTTCTTCATTTACCTTGACACTTGTTATATCATGTTGACCTGGCCAAAGGAGCCGATTGTAGCAATTGTAAGTGGACTTTTCCACTGTCATCAGAAATATTTTTATGGCGATCCCTTATTAAATTGCACCAGCTTTGTGTATAAAACGCAAATAAACTCTGAAGCTGCTGATTATTTTGTTATATAAGGGTATACCAATATATCATCTCAGAATGCATACTAAGCGAGGTAACTTCTGTAGTTAGGCAAGTGACTCCATTTTGGTCATATGTCTTAATGCCTAATACTAGATGACAGATTGAGAAGAAATAATAATAATAATAATAATAATAATAATAATAATAATAATAATAATAATAACAATGTCATTTGTTTCACGGCAACTCCGTTGCTATTCCCGCTCAATTTGAGACCAAAATTATGGCCGCAGTCATCTCCTATTTCGTACTCTTCTTAATGCAGGTGTGGCGAGCTATTCGGTTGATCGTGGACACTGGGTTGCACTATTATGGTTTCACAAGAGACACGGCTCTGGAGTATTTCAGTAAATATGCATGGGACGATACAGACCTTGCCAAGAAGGAGGTAAGAAAATAGCTCCCGTTTATAATTACAGCAACAAATTTTAACTTCTTTACAAAGTGTGTGCGCACTTGAACGCGAGCTATTCATTTGCAGACAGCGCAAGACAGTTTTAAGAGAGGGATAGCAATAGCAATAGAGAGATAGCAATATTTGACTGGAACTGCAGCTTGGAATGGAGGCTCATGAGATTAATGTTATTTCCATTTGAAACGACTCCCTGCATCAGCCTCAATTTCAAACTAGTTCCAGTCTAATACCGAGAATTCAAATATGGTCTATTCACAATTTTTTAAACTAATAATACAGTCAACGAATCACAGCAGGCGGCTGATTTTATTTTCTTTGTAGTTCCATACTCGCGAGAAACTGAATACGCTTACGTACTCCAAGGTTTTATGATCGCAGTAGATATACAATTATGCTTAAGATGATCTTTTTTCCAAAGCTAAATACTTTCCACAGAACGACAATTATCAACAGATATCGTTTCAAATAGAAATAACACAGGGTGTTGTTCAGTGGGCTTCAAAACGGCCAGTACCAATAATTACAGTCTTTTTTTAAAAATAAGATTATTGTTTTTCCGGCCCAGGCTGAATAGTGTCTTTTTTTGGCTAGTTTAGCCGTTATGAAGAAAGAAAAAAAATTATAGGGTTAAGTTAAAAACATATAATTGTGTTGTATTCACACATTTTCAACGTACAACATTATACGCTTTTCAAAATCTTAGCCTCGGGGTTACTCTTAAAATGTTCTTAAAATTTCGCAAATTTCAGCTTTGATATCCTTATAAAATATATTCTTATAAAAGAGTGTAATTCAGCTACTAGCAAGATGGAAGGTTGGTAGTCTTTATAGTCGTTCGGATAATTACACCCAGTCCCTTAACCCATCGACCTAACTGAGTACGTTAAATTATGTCACCCAGCTAGAACTGTCAGAATAACTATGAACGTTTTGACCGAGCAACGAACTTGAGTGTGTGCTTAAATTACCGTTGAACCAAAAACTTCTAGGGTGTGAAAAAATGCCTGCTGAAATCATTTCATTTGTACCAAACTTTGTTTAAGTTAGTTTACATATTTGCTCTACACATCTGTTGTTAAAAGATTTTTGAAAAGCATCTGAGCAATGTTCTTTTAATAACCTCGTCAGGTGACTCGGTACCAGAGCGACCCCGGACAAGCGACCGCTTACATGATTGGTCAGCTGGAGATAAAGAAAGCCAGAAGTTATTCTAAGGGAGCTCTGGGCAAAGATTTCAGTCTAAGAGACTTCCACTATCAGGTGCGTTTGTTTTCCGGTTATTACTTGAACTTTTCAAAGGAATTAAGAGCGAAAGAGAGGGAAAGAGATGATAAGACAGAAAACAAAGCTTGTTTTGTCAACTAACAGCATGTCATAGGTATGCGACGTAGGAAAGAGGTCCAGGACGGGGAAAAAAGGGAAAGATTGAAAGTGTAGAACCAGGCCTGGTGTAGAACGTAATTTGAACGAAGCTCGAAGGTTGGTGGGGCTCCTTTGTATAACAAAATCATTCGGTGTAATCCGATATACCAAAACTTGCTCGGTGCACAATCCAAATGCAGGAACTCAGAGTGTTTGCTGAACTCATTATTGCTCCGCACATTTTTGCTTCTTTAGGTTCTCGCCCAGGGATCTTCCCCACTTGATTACTTGTCCGATCACGTGACAAAGTATGTGGCCTGCGTCAAGGATAAGGCAAAAGAAGGTTGTGACGTCATTTTGAATCCACCAAAGAAAACCGAGGCAAAGAAAACGACCAGTGAAGGCCGCTGGTTAAAACTATTAAAACCCAATCTACACTATATATGACTCGCTTTGTTGATGAATATTGGTATCGCCAAGAGGCAGTCTGTCTTTTAAATCTTGATTCAGATGAGCTAAGGTTAAGACCAGAAGAACGTAATGAACAACGTTACTGATCAAATGATTGATTGATTGATTGATTGACTGATTGATTGATTGATTGACTGACTCACTGACTGACTCACTGACTGAATCATTGACTGACTGACTGACTGACTGGCTCAATCACTGACTGACTGATTGATTGATTCATTTGACTTCATGGTTGATTTTAGGTATGTATCTAAGAAAATATTGTTAAGTGCCTTAGCACTATCCATTGATTGATTACTTGACTGATCGACTGATTCGAAAAGCTCAAATTTTGTTTCTTTGTTTGTTTGAATGTTCTTATTATAGTGCTGTAAACAAACGTACGATGGTGTTTGTATTTTTTTCTGTACGTGACCTCAACTAAGAATAAAATACAAGATATAATCGTCTCGTAGTCCACAATTGTCCTTGCTTGACTCCACCTTTTCTATGAGGCGATTGAGAGGACTAAGTCCTTTCTCGCCTAAGTCCCCCTCGTTTTTTCTCTCGCTCGCCCCCTTATTTTCGCTCGTCCCCAGCTACCGAGAGCCTGGAACAGGCTACTTCAGACTGGAACATGTCCGTCAAAGGTACCTCTCAAAATTTACTTCAACTCCAACTCTCCTCGAGAACACTTCGCCGTTATCCACTTTAAACTCACTATGTGAAGAAACGCACTCGGAAGTGCATTATCCACTAAAGGCTCTCGCTCAAGAGCACATAACCCGATGATAGAGTGACACTTCTTCATTCAATAACAATAGAGTGGAAGTCGCGTGCAACTCGCGTGCAACTCACGTGCAACTCGCCTGCAACTCGCGTAGAAATGTAAACACCCGAAAAACGATGAAGTGAAAAACGACGGGGATGCTCGAGGATGAGAATTTTGAAAAGAACCCCTAATAGGTGCCAAGATCCTGTTTTGTTGGCTTGGCTTGATATTTTTTTTCTCCCCTAAGAGGTACTAATACTAAAGCAACAAATTATTCCCTGTCACATTTTTTCGGCTCAATACCCTAAAAGGTATCGCAAAAGCTCCCGCTAAGGACCTTTTAAGGCCAAACACCCTTCAAAGGTACCAAAACCGCTTTTTCAACCCCTAAAAGAAATGACGAACACCCAAATCATCTTTATATGGAGGTCCCTCCCGGAGGTCCTCCCCAGACAGTTGGTAAAAGAGAGCTTAAAACACCTTGTAAAGGTCCTGGAGTCAAAAGGAGAGCGTCACATGCACTGACTAATGCTGGAAGAGAGTGATAGAAGGGTCCAAACAGCATCAAAGAGAGGAGAGTAAAACGGGGTGTCAATTAAACTCTTAGCGGAACGTGCGTTCCCTGTGAGTCTCTTACCTGTCTTTTCTACCATGTTAACCCCTGTGCCTCCAGCTTTGTCCTCTTCTCACAAGTTCCTTTTGACTCCTTTATTGACTTTTTTTTCGTTCCCGCGCGACTTCCACGCATGGCTCACTCAAATTTTGATTAACCTTCCTCGGTTTATCAACCCCCGTTAATGTCATAAGGCTCTAACCATGGCTTTCCTCTTTAGTTAACCCTTGTGACCGCAGTGTCCTTTTCCTCTCGCTTGTAACTAGATGCGTTTTTAGGCGTCTACTTTGGCTTTCTTCCCCTAGCATTCTGATTGATATTCCATTCTATTTTTACTCCCTGTAGACTTTCTGTTGCTATTGACATGCCTTTCTTTACGTGCGATAAAGTGTGTTGCTGGCTCCTCTGATATAATAGGGAACTTACGCAAACCACGACGATGACGGCAACGAGAACGCCACTAAACAAAAGGTTTAATGAGCAAAACAATAGTTGTGCACGCACATTATACATCTTTGTACATTTCTTTGCCGTCCTCTGTAAAAAAAGAACGTGAAATGACCGAGTTCTGCGTAGTCTGTGGAACGCGACCGATGACGGCTAAATTTTCGTATTTCCATTTGGAACGGAACGCTGTCATTGCATATTTAGAATGAACACGTTTTTAGAGCCATTGGCGTACTGAACAGATCTATACAATCGCGAATTTCGCAAGTAAAATATAAGATCATTTTTGACTAGGCGTTGTCCTCGGCGTCGCTGTCGTCGTTGCTTAAGTTCCCTAATAACCAGTCATGATAATCAAAATTTGGTAACTTAGTATTGAGTCATCTTGTATTACGGTTCCCTTAAACATATATGAAAAACTTCGCAAAGATTAAGGCCTGTGTGGTTTCACATACGCGCCTTCTCCGTTCGGAGAAATCGTTCACCCAAATTTGTAGAGCTTTGTATGGACACGACATGTTGGTGTCCCCCTGATGGGCCCCAGTACTGCAACCGTAAAATAACAGAATCTTTCAATGAGTTTTGCTTTAAGAGCAATGTACACAAAAATTAAAAATAGTTCGGTAAGGCTTGAAAAATCGAATTTTCCCTACTGTTGCATATAAGTAGGCCTTAGTAAAAGTAAAAACGCTGTGTAGTTTTTTCTTCAAATATCTTGGTATTTCCGAGAAAACGGACATTATCGATTTCACGTCCAGACATCAATCGAACGAGTGCTAACTGGGCTGAAAATCGACCATTTTCATTCGATTCGCATTTCGCAACTATTGAGCGCAAAAAAGTTGTAATACAACCAACTTAATGTAGAACTATTCCTTGTCCAAAAGCGCCCAGTTTTAAGTGAATATTGGATTAATTCAACTACTTGGCGGTAAACAAAACCAAAGCGTTCTCCAACGATGAGTTCGTCAGTCGGTGAAAAGAATTGTCATTTTGACCATGTGCCATGTCTCGGAATTCCACAAGATTTTAGATTCTAACTATGCTAGGATAGGTCTTTAAATATATGTAAAGTTTAGTTTGGGCAAATGATTAGGCACTCGTCAAAAGATTATTCAAATCACACACAAAAAAATTAAAATAACGCCAGCAGTCGAATGCGTGACCAAAAGTGCTACCATTGTTTTTGTCATTAAATCACTTCAATGCGAAATATCACAGGAATATCAGCACGATTTAAGCATAAAACAATATAAATATGTCTACCTTAGCTCAGTTATCATGTCTTGACTATCAAACAACATTCCCATCCTGCCATTTTAACGGTGTTCGATTAGCTTTTCATAACCTGTGTGCATTAGTCTGGTGAATTTGAATCCCCCAGATCGCTCAGTATTACCAAGTTCCTATGCAAATGTTCCTACGTTTTCCGTTTTGTTGTTCGATACAATCATTCAACCCGCTTTCAGGCAGAAATCCCCAGTCATTATCAATGACAAATAAGCCGCCATTTTCGATCGGTCCGTATCTCTTATTTGCATATTGTCCAGCAAAAGTCTTTGCACACAGGGTAGGGGTAGAGTGGGGATTATTTCCGAAAGAAAAAGCCTTAGAATTTCTCAAATATCTCGGTGTTAGTTCTAATTCAGGACCTCCTTTCTTAGGTAAAGCGATAAAATGCAACATACTAACAAGGTCTTTATGGCTTAAAAAAGAAAAGTAACTCTGTTTGAAATCCCGACCCTCACCCCCATGTAAAATATGTTGTAACGCACCGGTCTCGGATAAACATCTTCAGTCAAAATGAAGGCCTTTCAAACGTCATCAAAATGGAAACCCGAAAGTCCCACGTGGAATAACGCTTTAGCAGTTACTACTGGCTTAAGGTAGTATAATCAAACGACCCAAATAACACAGATAGAATGATACATCCAATGATACATACATGGCACTTGAGACAGTAATTGTTTTTCTTCAAAGTCGGATATGAGTACTGACAAGAAATGCAGGGAAAGAATCAGCTTGCAAGATTCAGGATACTACAAACCGAAGTAGGTGAACATGTTATTTTTATGTGTATGTCATTCATACTGCTTGGTAATGTTGACGTGTCGAACTGAAGTATATTAAATGCCGATATGCTGATGATACTTTTGGTCACCCACTCGGTAGTTGCAGGCGTGATTTTGTGTCTTTTGTGAACGATTTTGAATAATATTTTGACGATTTCCTAACCATTAGCCCAAACTAAACTTTACATATATTGAAAGACCTATCCTAGTATATTTAGAATGTAAAATCTTGTGGAATTCCGAGACATGGCACACGGTCAAAATGACAATTCTTTTCACCGACTGACTAACTCGATTTTGGAGAACACGCTGGTTTTGTTTACCGTCAAATAATTAGATTAATCCAATATTCTTAAAATTGTCCTTTTTTAGACAAGGAATAGTTCTACAATACGCTGTTTGTATCACAACTTTTCTGCGCTCAATGGTTGCGAAATGCGAATCGAATGAAAATGGTCGATTTTCAACCGATTTTCAGCCCAGTTAGGACTCGCTAAATTGCATGAAATTGAGTCTGAAGGTTAAATCGTAAATGTCGTTTTTTCTCGGAAAGACAAAGCTATTTCAAGGACAAAACTACAGCCTGTTTGCACTCTTGCTAGGGGCTAGCTATATGCAAAAGACGAGTAAATTTGAATTTTCTAGCCTTGCCGAAGAAATTTGATTTTGTTTGATTTTTGTGGGAATTTGCACTTAAAAACGAAAAAGTTATTCTGACTCTAGAACTTTGACACATTGTTATTGAGACTTCGTCTAATACAAGTACTCTTCGCCAGTTAGTAAAAACTCAGAAGTTAAGTCATCTTTTGATCTATGCGACGTTCTCTCGGGCCGCCATTTTTAATGTAACACAACGCAAAGCTTGGAAACTACAACTTTGTGAAACATTTATTCGAGAATCCTACTTCTGATGAAGCTAAAACTTCAAGAGAGCGAGTATTTATTATTATCATTATTATCATTAATATTATTATTATTATTATTGTTATTATTGTTATTTTGGAATATGAAAACGTCACATGAAAACAGGAAATTTGTCTCCAAATTGTTTTGTGTTCTCGTGCATTATTACGACTGTAATTATATAAGGGGCAAGATACGGCAAAACCATAGCTAGGGCAAGTATTTCAAATGATCGTGGAGAAAATGTCTCCTAAATGCAGCCGATCTACTATAAGCAATGAAGCTTAAAACACTTCGTTTTTCATAGGGCTAATGCACACATTCGAAATAACACCTTCAGAATACACTGTTGG